TACAATGTTAACACAGTATATTTTTCAGAAAATTGTCGCCAATGTTTTAATTGCGAATGCATAATTTTCAAAACAATTGCATGGAAGGCAATTTATTTCTTGTTTTTTTGTTTTTTACTAATCATTCGCGAATCGGCATTTATTTAGTACTCTACTGAAATCCACTTGAGCACACGTCCGTGTTGCACGGTGCTTGGCACCTGACTGAATCTTCGTTCGTTGGCTGCTTACGACCAGAGCCAGAGCCCAATCGCATACTCAGTTGCCAGTCTGTTCAAACTGTTTAGACTGTTTTAAACTCGGCTGAGAGTTGTATTGGTGTTGGTGGTAAGTGTTGGTTGTTAGCTGGTTGGCTCGTTGACGGTGATTGTATGCCAGTTGTTGGTGGCCACACATGTACACTGCTGGCGGTATGGACGATGGTGTTGGTGGTGGTAGTGGTGGTGGTGGTAGTGGATGTTTTTAGCTGTTTCTGTAGGGATGGCCGCTTGTATGTATATACATATGTATGTAGTGTGGAGAAAAAGGCCAACGGTGCTCTTGGCGCGGTGGTGACTTAACTGAAGTGGTTGATTTTCAAGCTTAAAAAATCGTGGAAAAGCAAATTGCAGCACACGACAAAACAAAACAAAAAAAAAGAAACAAACGTTATGCACCTACCCTACAAGACATTGCTGAGCACTTTAGGCAAAAATTCTCACACATTTACACTTTTGTTTTTGTAGTACGGCATAAATGAGTAGTTTGACTATTAGTACTGAGGACTTTCTGATTACAACATTGAGGGGAAAGTACTCAATTTTTTCCCATGGCCTGAACGAAAATGAGGACTTTGATAAGCACTTTTGTGATTAGGAGAAATGATAATATGAGTACTCATATGATACTCAGCTGTCTTGTAGGGTATGCATTCAAGCACATACTTAAGTATGTATGTATGTACGTGTATTTGTAGCATGCACTCTGAATCAAAACGTGGTCCTATAAGGGCTGAATTTTATCCACATATGTTGTTGTTGTTGCTTTTTTCTTTTCTTTTGTGTTGCATCGTCGTCGGCTGTTATCTGCCAGCGACTGCGCAGTTAACATTTTCACCTTTTCATCTCATTTGCGCTCTAATTTGGCTCTCGTCTTTTGGCTGCGCGTACTGCCTGCCGCAAGGGTCACATTGCACGCACCACAGTTAGTTGCATATCTGACGCAGTCGCTTGAGTGCCGGCTGTTGGCGTTGTTGTTGCATGTAGTAAGACTTGTAATCCTTGTTGTTGCTGCTGATTTTATAGCCAGCACGCGCTTACTCACTTACAACTATGTCCTACTAATTGGTAAACAGTTTGAACGGCGCGTCGCGTTGCATTTGCTGATGCCACTACGTTTACCGTTCTTTTTTGTTGTTGTTGCTACGCTTTATATTTTTGGCTACATTGCTTGTAACAACTGACGTCAATGGTTGTTGCGCGATTTCGTGCATTTAAGTGTTCGTTTGTCGCTTTTAGTTTGGTTAGCAGAGTCAAAGGCGCGCGCACCCCCGCCATCATCGTTCCCCAATTTGCTGTGTGGTTGGTGTTGATTTCCTCGAATTTCAAATGACAAATACATGCATAAGGATGTACATATGTAATCGTGTATGTATGTACTGCATGCGTTTGAGTAAGTTTGTAGCTCCTTCATGGTGCTGACTAAGCCACACAATTCAATGCTGACTCAAATCATTGAATCAATCGCATTTCCCATTTTCATTGTAATGTTGTTGCTTTCATCCCTATTTGGTATTGTAATTGAATTTGTTGCTTTTCCTCATTGACTCCCGGCATTCGGGCATTCACAGCATGTGGTGTAAAAAATAATTGTAGTGGCAATTTATTCGAATATTTTTAACTTATAATTGCTTCTTAGCGGACATACATACTTATGTGTGTCGATCCATGCCGTTCTAACGGGTGATTTTTTTGAGGTTAGGATTTTCATGCATTAGTATTTGACAGATCACGTGGGATTTCAGACATGGTGTCAAAGAGAAAGATGCTCAGTATGCTTTGACATTTCATCATGAATAGACTTTCTATATAAATCAAGGACTTCTGAAAAGCACATAATTCGCGCATTATTCCTTGGCAAAACGCAAAATTGTTTAAACAAGTGCGCTCTTAGGAAAATTAAAAAAATTTATAAATTTATTTAAAACATTTTTACGTTCTTAAATTTTTTTTTTACAATTTAAAACCTATAAAATTTTTGTTAAATCAAAGAATTTAAATTTCAACGTGACAAACAATCTGCGCAGCTGTGCAAATTAACGTGTCGCTAAATCAAAAGGATTAAAACACAACACAAAAAAAAAAAAANCCGCTCACGCCGCAATCGCAAAAGCCGACACAGTCGCCATCGTTGGCTGCATTCACAAATTCTTCACTCGACGTAAATCTCGGTTCTACAAAGAATTGGATACAGCATGCCTCCGCCTTTAATTCTGTTATCGCATCCGCGCAGAAATTAAATAGTAAGTGAATTTTTATAAGCACAGACTGATACAGAAAATAGTTTAATAGTAATTTAAAAAATGCTGCGGGAAAACAAACTCAATGACCAACTTTGTCGTAAAAATGTTTGCCATTTAATGCCCAGTGAAAACACGGTATTATAAAAAAACTTCAAAGATTGTGGAACGTTTTGAACTATTCGAAAATCGCTCAACTTTTGTGAGGAAACCAATTATGGTTTATCAGATTCTTATTTAACATGGCATACATAAACTCACTTCACAAAGACAGCCGATACTACATACTTATTTCTTACTAAATAAAACAAGCATAAAGACAATAACATGAGATTCAATAAAGAGTTTAATTAAATTTTGGGAAAAGCTATAAGGAAATTTAATTTTGAAAAAAATACAGTTAATTTAAAAAGGTAAAAGATAATTTTTTAAAAAATGTGCACACTGGATTCAGTTCGAAAAAGATTAATTTTTGAAAATAAATTAACAAAAAAATATTTTTCAAAGAAAAAATTGGAAGTTTAAAAATAAAAACTACTGGAAAGACTGTTTTTGAAAAACTGAGTTTTTATACAAAAAAAAGGACTAATTAAAAAAAAACAAAAAAAAAAAATTGGAAAAGAATTAAAATATTTTTCGAATTCCGATTAAAATCAATAGAA